TTCTAAGATTTGTACTGTATAAAATTCGTTTAAAAATATAGGTGGATCATTTATATTTATAACAAAAAAAAGTCCTTTGACAAATGATTTCAGAACTCCATCGGTTGCTTCAATAAAATAATGAATTACTTCATTGATTTCAAAATCTAGTTTTCCATCTATTTCAATAATATATGTGTTGCTATATATGTCTAATCTTCTCGTAGTAATATTTAAATCATATTCGAAATTATATATATTAATAGAAATATTTGAGCTGTCATAATCTGTAACAGTATAATTGGTTAAATAATGATTTTTATACTCACCTTCAAATATACTAGAAATTGGAATATGTGAAATGATAGGAATATGTCTGTTTAAGCCTGATGGAAGACACTCATAATTGCAAGTTGTAACGTTTATATTTACCATTGTTGAAACAAAATGAATACCATCTGATAATGTAACAGTTAATATATAATAACTTTTGTCAGTGTGATGTAGTGTTTTCTTAAGTTGAATTACTCCTGAAGATTCATTAATAATAAAGAATTCATCTTTATTTGAAAGCGGAGTAATAGTGTATGTTAAAGTTGGATTATCATCAATATCTGGATCAAAACCCTGAACAGTAACAACATATGATCCAATAAAAGCATCTTCACGAATTTCAACATAATAACTTTCATCTAGAATCATTGGTGGTTCATTCATGTCAAGTACAAAAATTGATCCTTCAGCAACGGCCAACAGATTTCCATCAGTAGCTTCAACAAGATAGTGCACTATATCTCTATTTTCAAAATTTAGATTTCCTGTAAGTTCAACCAAAAACACGTTGCTGTAACTGTTCAGTCGCTTCACTGTTAAGTTCAAATTGCTACCGAAATCATAAACATTGACAGATAAAGTAACGTTCTCATAATTTGTAACTGTAAAATTAGTTAAATAATAGTTCTTGTATTCTCCTTCTAAGATATTAACTGGAAGAATAGAGGAAATGACAGGAGCAGGTTTGTTTAAACTAATGTAAAGGCACTCATTATAACAAGGAGTCACATTTATATTCACTGATGTCGAAACCAAATTGACCCCATCTGACACCATAACAGACAAGTTGTAAAAGCTTTTCATAGTGTAATTCAATGTTTTCATTAACTTAATTATTCCAGAAGATGCATCAATAACAAATTTATGATCACTGTTTGAAACTGGGTCAATAGCATATGCCAAGATAGCATTATCATCAACATCTGGATCAAAACCTTCAACAGTGACAACAAACGATCCAATAAAAGCATCTTCACGTATTTCAGCATAATAATTCTCATCTAGAGTCATCGGTGGTTCATTTACATTTATAATAAAAAGAAGTCCTTTAACTAATGATTTAAGAACTCCATCTGTGGCTTCAATAAAATAGTGAACTACATCATTGATTTCAAAATCTAGCTTACCACTTAATTCAACAATAAATGAGTTACTGTAAATGTTCAATCTTCTTGTTGTAATGTTCAAATCATTGTTAAAATTATATATATTTATAGAAACATTTGTGCTGTCATAATCTGTAACTGTATAATTAGTCAAATAATAACTGTTATATGCACCTTCAAATACATTAACAAAAGGAATCGGTGAAATGATAGGCATATAACTGTTTAAGCCTGATGGAAGACACTTATAATTGCAAGTAGTTATGTTTATATTTACTAATGTTGAAACAAAATAAATACCATCTGATACTATAACCGATAAATTATAGTAACTTTTGTGAGTGTGATATAGAGTTTTTTTTAGCTGAACAACTCCTGAAGATAAGTTAATTTCAAACAATTCATCTTCGTTTGTAAGTTGATTAATGGTATATGTCAAAGTTGGATTATCATCAATATCTGGATCAAAACCTTTAACAGTAATAATATATGATCCGATAAAGGCATCTTCGCTAATTTCAACATAATAACTCTCGTCTAGAGTCATTGGTGGTTCATTCACATCAAGTACAAAAATTAATCCTTCAGCATACGACTTTAGGTTCCCATTTGAAGCCTCAATAAGATAGTGAACTTCATTATTATTTTCAAAATTTAAAACTCCATTTAGTTCAAGGTAAAATAAGTTGCTATAGTTGTTTATTCTCCTAGCTGTTAGGTTTAAACTTGTTAAAAAATCATATATAATGACTAAAATAGTATAATTATCATAATGATCATAATTTGTGACAGTAAAATTAGTAACATTTAGTTGATTGTACTCACCTTCATAGATATTAATCACGGGAATGTTTGAAATAATAGGAATATGTTTGTTTAAACCTAATACAAAACATTGGTATACACAAGGAGTCACATTTATTTTTACTGATGTTGAAGCATTCTTAACTCCATCAGATAGTATAACAGTTAGATTGTAAAAGTTTCTGTTTACATAGTTAAGTGTTGTGACTAGTTTGACTGCTCCAGATTGGTCTATAACAAATGAGTTATTATTATTTGAATTTGGATCAATAGTATATATTAAGATTGGATTGGCAGTCAGATCTGGATCAAAACCTTGTACAGTGACTAAATAGGATCCAATAAAAGCATCTTCTTGAACCTCTACTTCATAAAACTCATCTAAAAATGCAGGTGGTTCGTTAACATCTTCTACCATAATTGTAACCTCTTTAAAAGATTCATACTTTCCATCTTTAGCAATTATTAAAAATTTAATAACATCATTGGTTTCAAAATTTAAACTTCCATTTAGCCAAATTATAAAAGCATTGCTACTATTTTCCATTGATTCAACCCATATAGTAAAGTCATTATCTGAACTATACACATATATTGAAATTGTGTTGATGTCATATGCTGTTACTGTAAATGTTGCAAGGTATAGATCATGGTATATACCTTCAGACATATTAATTGCAGGAATATGTGAAACAAATGGAGGATACTCAATTTGTTCAAATGAAAGATGCCCTAATTTAATTGTAATCAAAGCTGTTGAAAGTTGCTTTGGACTTCCCATATCTGAAATCTCTACTCTTAAATAATAAATTACACCGAAATTTAATGTTTTTTTTAAAACTAATTTATTTGTGTCATTAAAACCAAAAGTGCCATTGTATAGATCATCAATAATGCGAAACTCTACAAAACCATTTTGACCTAAATCATAGTCTTCATATTTTATTGTTGCAATCACAGAATTAATTGGTGTAGTGTCATATACAATTATAGTAGTATCATTAATCATTGGTGGATGGTTATTAATATCTTTAACTTGTATAAAAACACTAGCTATATCAATAAAGTTGCCATCAGATACAACACAGATAAAGCTGTACAGTTCTTCTTGAAGTAAGGGATCTTTGTTACTTATAACTCCTGTTTGATTATCAATATGGAACATGTTAAAGTCATTTCCAATGCAATAAAAGTAAATACTACTTATATTATCTTCATCTTTAGCATACAATTGTAAAACGCTGACACCTGTTTCATTAGTCTCATTTATGTCAGCAAAATAGTTTTCTTGATTAAATTTTGGTTTTTGATCATTCACATTGATAATGTGAATAGTTATATTAAAAGCAACGGGATTTTCTTGTTGATTGCTCCCTTGATTAAAAGCTAATACTTTCAACTCATACAATCGACAATATTCAAAGTCTAAAGAATCATTTACTTTTATGGTACCATTTTCAATGCTGAATGAATTAGATGAAATTTGAAATACAATTTTATTACAAAGATTATTAGTGCTTAATTGTCCAACATAGGCACCAACTAAAATGTTTTCTTGAACATAAAATTCTGTCTGTTGATCTAAACGATAAAAGTTATTTTTCATTCATTAATTTAACTAAATATTTTATTATTATTTATTTAAAATTTATTATTAATTTAAATAAATATTAACAGAGCAACTTATCTAGTTGTTTAATTAGGTTTTTTTGCGACTAACTAAATTTTCAAAACTGAGGAGTCCTTTCAAATATACTATAAACTATTATTATTAAACATCATTCATTCATAGATAATATTCATTAACTTGAATTTAAATTCCAAAAACAAATTTAATTAATAACTTAATTGCTGTTGATATTCCTATATTAATAATTGGTAACTGTCGTACTAAGACCTCCATTTTATGTCTTCTTGAATACCTTTTACAACTAACCTCTCATAGAAACAATTCATACAATCCATTGCAAAGTTAGCATCTTTTAAATTTGCTTCTCTTTATTTTGTTTGTCACTTGCATACTTTTATTCTATTCTCTACTTCTATAATCTATAAATCTATCTATAATTCTCTTGTTTGTCCTTTTTATGGAATATTGTTGTCATATTTAAGCTAGTTCTTCTAAGATGCTCTTTCTTTCCTAGACAACATCTGAAGACATATGCAATTGGATCTGCTCTAGCTGCCAAGTTTGAGCCTCTGCTCCATCATCATAAGATTGCATTTCTTTCTATTTTCTAGAAACACTACTATGGTTGCTGCTCAAACAAGCTACCATCTCTTGTTCCATTAAATAAACTCAATTTTGCATGACTCATATTCATGACTCAAGTCACACACTTTTATTGTATCTGACCCTTTATGCTTAAAATTTTTAAATTTTTTAACACAATTTAACTTAATTAACTTTTATTCTTTTAAAATTATATCAATTTAATATTTTTTTGTGGTGAAAAAAATTTACCGCACCATTGATAAATAAGGAGAATCAACAATGTGAGCTGGTAAGGAATTCCATAATTGTACAGTTCTTTTGCTGAAGAAGAACTTACGGCAATTGTTTGTACATATTGCATGATATAAGTTTTTTAGCATGACATCTAGTATTGTAGTGAGAGTTGGAAAAGGTAAAGAGATTGGAAAAAGGTAAGTCGACGAGATTGCCTACAATTTTGTATACCATAACAAGATCAAATTTAAATCTACGACGCAATATGCTTAATAAAACTATATGATGCAATACGCTTATTATTACCATTTACATTAGATATATTAACATATATTATATAGATTAAAATGATCCTGAATGTTGTCAAAAAAGGAAGAATTATTGAAATGTCATCATTTCGAATGACTCATAGAAATATTGCAAACAAGATTGTATACAAAAAAAGCATTTAAGTAAAAGCTTTTAGGAGAAACAGCCTGTCAATCAAGATTATGAAGAAAAAGGAAAACTACAAAAAAAGAACATAGATGCATTGCTAAGCTGCCTTTAAAATTTAGCACATTTCTACAAAGATAAAATGAGATAAAATAATATAAAAAAATGAGATAAAAGCAGATAAAAAAAAGGTAGTATTTTTTGGCCCCAACTGAATGATGAGTTTCTCGTTTTATTTTATTTATAGAAACTCATCTAACATGTGATACCTAGAAATCCGGACAAAAGTTCGGTCAACATAAATTGTTTAAGAAGTGTTGCAAAATTGTTGCAACTTATGCTATGTTGTAGTAAATTTAATTCTCTACAAATTGTAATATATCATATAGCAAACAATTATTTATAATGGCAAAGAAAATTATCTCAAAACAGGAAAACCTCAGAAAGCGTGTGTACGCGTTAATCGATTTGCATCCGGATATGAAGAAAAGTGAGATAGTGAGACACTTCATGATCAAAGGCGCATCAAGGTCGACCCTGTATGATATTTTTTGTGCAAGACACTCAAAATAGGCCCTGAAAGACAGCGTGGAACTAGACAGGTGGCAATCAAGATGAACACAAAGCAAATCACCATGCTGTAAAAGCGAATCGATCATAGTGACGGAGTTAGTTAGCGTCAGCTAGCCCGCATGGTGTCAGCCAAAAGCACATATCAAAAACAATTAACACCAAGACAACAATCAAATACAAAAAGAAGAAAAAAATTCCGGATCGAACTTTGCAACAGAAGTCAGCTGTTCATTCAAAGTGTGCCCACCTGGCCAGAGTTTTCCTATTTTTCATTAAGCAATAACGAGCTATCTGGAAACGCTGGTTTCTACAAGTCTGACATTGAAATGACTCCAGAAGCTGTTAAACTCAAGCGCAAGCCCAAGTTCAAGCCAAAGTACTTTTTGGTTTGCTATGATAAGCTCGAGCCAAAGGTACTGTTTGGATTGCTATGTCTGATGATGGCCTGTCGAAAAACCTGGTGACACCTTCAGGCCATGCGATCAATCAAGATGTCTACATCCAGAAGTGCTTGATGAAACACTTGATTCTGTTCATCTAAGCAGTTTATAAGAATAACAAGATTGTTTTCTGGCCTGACCTCGCTACGTCTCATTACGCAAAGAAAACGCAGGAGTTTCTCCAAGCGAATAACATTGAATTCGTGTCTAAGGAACGCAATCCTGCCAATGTGCCAGAACTTCGACCAATCAAAGACTTTTGATCAGAACTCAAACAAAGAGTATATGATCGTGGCTATAGAGCAAAAACCGTGGACCAGCTCACTGACAGGATCAATTACTGGATAAAACGGATCAGTCAAGATCATGTACATTGACTTGTCAAAGCTTCTTTCAGCGCAGTGGACAAAGTTTGCAGACATGGCATGATAAACTTCTAATTTTTTTAAATCTGAAGCTTTATATGCTTAACTTTAATTATCTTTTTACAGAAATAAAATTGCACCTTTAATGTCAAAGTTAAAAGTTTTTCAGTTTTGTTAGGCTATATGATAGTTGATGTGGCAACACTCTGCGCATGTTTTAGAAAAATGTTTTTAAAAAACAAAAACACTACTAATTAAAAAAACTAATCATTATTATTGCAGTTTTTTTAAAAACAATAAAACTTAATGTACTATCCCATTATTTTAATTGTTTTAACTTTTCAATGACAATAAAATATAGCTTAATTGTCGAGGTAGCAAAATTGTTGTTAAAAGAGATTTTTTTTAAATTGAAAGTCTTTTTTGACTATGATATATATATATATATATATATATATATATATATAATATATATATATATATATATATATATATATATATATTTTAGTTTATTATTATTATTTTTTTAATGTAAACACACAAAGGGAACAAATTTTTTCAAAAGACTTCTTTTGGTATTTCAAGAAAAACAGTCAGATCTTGTTTTAATGCTTTATGTGTAGAGCAATTTATGTTTGCCTTGAGCTATTTTTACTTACACCTTAAGCAATTTAGGTCGAGCTACTTTTTATCATTTTTTAACTTTTAAATTAGCGCTAAGATAAAAGAGGGAATTAATTTTTAAAAAAAACCACATTACCTTTTGAATGACGATATGTAAAAACTATTGTTACAAAAGTTTGAAAGAAGTTACGTTAAAAATAATTCTTGTAACTTTTTATCACAATAATATTTCTTATCTTTTTATAACGATTGCGTTCAACATAATTATATTCTAACCTTTTCATCTTAATATTTAGCAACATAAAAAAAGTTTGTTACTCCTTAACTACAAATTGTTTGAGATGTTTTTATTAAAAATTCAGTAAAAAAATCTAAAAAAAATCTATATTAAAAAAAACATTTATAGTAAGACATTATTTTGAGATATTTAAAAAAATGTGCCAATTTATAAACAATTTATTTTATTGTACTGAAAATTACTTCTTAATTAATTATTACTCTTTGCTTTTCTTATTAATTAAAGGTATATAGATACCTTTACCTTTAAGATATGCTGGAGGAGGGGGGTCTGCATATTAATTAAAGGTATATAGATACCTTTAACTTCAAAATATACGAGAGGAGGGCCGGCACAGAAGAAAAAAAAACTACCTGTTACTCGCAATTTTTGAATGAAGACAATTTGCTAAATTTCTTCTGCGCGCAATTTAATTATTTTTTTTTTCATAAATCAAGTTCATTATAAAGTCAAAGAAATCACAAGTAGACTATAACATCTGCTGATGACACTAATATTACGTTAAATACATTTATATAAAGGAGGTTTCATTATACATGCACACGTTAAAGACTCCGTTAAATTAATACTAAAGCACATTTTAGTTTAATGACAGCCTTTATTCTTTACTAATAACTATGTATTTTTCTATATAAAACAAGATAAACTAGTATATAAAAATCTAGTATATTTATATTCTCTCCAAATTGTTTAAAAATCGATATTGGATTGTATTTTGAAGAACAAAAGAATTACATTGAAAATTTTTAAATCTTGGGACTTTGCCAAAGCTTTTCGAATTGAAACTATAACAGAAAAAGTGAAGACTTACGTTATTAAAATCATATATAATTTGTGTGATCTTCATCAAAACTAAATTTTATCCAAAATCAATGATGCCATAAGGGCAGCTGCGGTACGGTTTATAAATAGCACAAGTAATTTAAAAATATTTTAATGTTAGTATATTATATTTAAGTGGTATATAAACAAATTTAAATATCGTTCAATAAATAAATTAAATTTTTCTTAACAAAGATTATTTATAATCTTTCTTTTTATTTTATTACTTGAAAATAATTTGCTTGCAAGCGAAAGTTTTTTAATTATATGTAGAAAGAAAATTGAGTTTGTTTATAAGTTAAGGAACCTAATTTTTAATGAACAAATTTTAACAAATGTTTATAAACAGATACTATTCAAGTTAATAAATATACTTAGTTATAATATAATAAGTTTGCACGATTAAAATATTGCGTATAAGTATTTTAAAAGTTTTTTGCTTTATAAATAATCAACAAAACAGTTTGCATAATTCAGACTCTTATATTTAATTTTATTATTTATTTTTGTTTAATAAAACTCAAAAAAAGTCAAATAAATTAAGAATTTAATTGTTAAAAACAATTTTTCTCTAG